CCAGCTGGAAGCTCTGTTTAGGAGAAAGGATATTTATCTAATAAGACTTGGCAAAGGGTGAAAGCTGATGTTTTATTAGGGAATCCTCAGTTTCTTAGTGTGAATATATTATCTTTTCTTTAAAGCTGTGCCATTTTTTTTCAATTAAACAAAACTATTTGTTCTATTACTCATAATGGGTCAGGTATAGAAGTGAGGGAAGGTAGAAATGAATAGGACTGATTTATATACAAACCCTAAGTCCCCATCTTTCCCAGCTCTTAAACATTTCTACTGCCTATCTCTGGACCCTGAGTCCCCGATTTTTCAATCTCCTTCCTAGTAGTTGTCTGGGAGGACCAAGGAGAACAGGAACCAGCAGATCTATCCATCACTCCTTATCAGTCCTTCTGTTATCAGTTTTGTGCCTTACCCATTCGTTGTGTGCTTGATATCTGTGTAACTAGAGATAACTGGGTCCTTTATATTTAATGTGATTGAGGACATACTTGGGTAAATGCACCTTAGAGCTCTTTGAGTGCGATTCATCTCATCTGCTGTTTATTCCCCATCCTCTCTTCCTATCTTCTTTGGGATCTGCATTTTATTTCTTCTCATGTTTTGTTTTGTTTTTTTAACTGAGTCATCAGTTATTCTTTGGTTTGTTGCTGTAATGCTTACTTTGTGGAATATACCATGCCCATAAGCTGGAGTCTATTGCGTCTAAATGAACAGTTTTATCTCCATTTAATATCTGGTCATGTCTTGTACTCTTTGATTGATGTCTCTGTGTCACTGTCCATACAGGGCTTCCATTTCTCCAGCTTACGTAGTTTTATGTGAAGGTATTGTAGCACTCTCTGGGAAAATCAAGGGGACTCTGCAGAGCTCTTGGTTCTCCTGCCCTTTTTTGTTTTTTAGCCCCTCCCCTACCAATGGACTGGGGAAGGAGCATAAGAGAAGAAGAGAGGGGAGGGTGGGATTGGGAGGGGATGGTGGAGGGAGCTATAGCTGGGATACAAAGTGAATAAACTGTAACTAATTAAAAAAAGAAAGAAAACAAAAACAAAAACCTTAACCTGCTTAGAGTCCAGCTGTGCCCTTCAACACAGGGAGGCCTGGGAGCTCTGCCTGTTCTTCTCTGAGCTATTTTGTAGATTATCTTTGGGCATTAAAGAGGTACAAGTGTATAGCTCACTTTAGTTGTTTCCCCATCTCTCTGTAATCTTTGTCTGTTCTTGATGGATGACCAGCATCTGTTACCCATTATTCCAAATGTTATCAGATTTGTAAATATTTGTTTCATGATAAATTTAACTGTAATAACCTACTGTTCCATTGTGACTGAAAACAGGATACATTTTCATTTGTTTAAAAGTTTCTTCCTCCTCACTGGTGCCTCCTTTACTTTCCCTTAGTTGCTCGAAGTTTATATCTTTTTATTGGGTTGCCATAAATTACAATGTTATTTCAGGGAAGAAATGGTTTTAGAGGAGAAATTATTTATCACATGCATTTGATCTCTGTAATGCTTTTCATTATATAACCAAGTCCGAAATCTGAGGCCAGAACTGATATTTGAAATACTTTTGTCATTATTAATTTTAATAAAATGCTTAATAAGAGAGGCATTCATGAAAATAGTTTGTCAACTCTTACCATCGACAATGGAATCATTTTTTTTTTCTGTTGTAAAAATGTTATGTATAAACCTTGGAATGTAGCATTAAAAATGCAATTCATGTTGACAGATGAGCAAGAGCCGTTGCTCTGTTGAATCTGTTGGTGACTCTGAGAGCCTGCCACTTGCCCAGGGAAGCTTAGACTGAGAATAAATTTGACATTGCCACATTAGTTCATGAGCATCAGCCCCCCTCCCTGTAATTTTCTCAGAACTAGGCAACAGTGCATAATTGAGTAAGGCCCAGTATTAGTCTTCAGAATACTTCATTATTTTGATTTTAAAGGCAAGGTAGATGAGCGCATTATATATTACATGTCTTGTGACCCTTACAAACATTTATTGAAAGCCGTTAGAGGTATGCGTAGGACATTGAGAGACAAGCCTGGAGTACCATACTGACCTGTGCATGGTTTGGAGAAGGAGAACTCTGAAAAAGAAACCATAAGTGCTAGTCTTTGCCTTGCAGTGCTGAGGGGCAGCAGGCGTGCTGGGCAGGGCCAGCCACCCCTTAGTGAAGGGTAACTTCTGTGAACTTGAGCAAATGCTTAGTTTAGCATCAAGTGGTCACGTCTGTTAAACAGTGCTAGACACAGTCAGCGGTGAGTGAAGGGATGAATAAGGCATAGAAACTGAAAAGAGGGAGCTCTTTTCAGACCTTAAAGCTGTGTCAGTCTACAAAGCTGTGAGCGCTGGGAATGCAAAAAGTAGTGTAAGCGTCTTTTGCTGGAACTCTCAAAGTCCTTAAAAGCCTGACATCATGAGGCATTTCTCCCGCCAGCGTTACTATTGTTCAGTGTGCTTTTTATTAAATTAGCATTCCTGATGGGCAGAATGTCTCTGCTACGTGAGCGGTTTCTTCATGCCGTTCTCAGACAGTTTTTCTTGTGAAAAAGAGTGGAGTTCTCTAAAGTAAACCACTGTGGAGTAGTGGAGTCTGTGAAGTGAACTATTACAGGAAAAGTTTACACATTTCCTTAGTCCTCAGTTATATGCATTAATCACTTATGGTGGTGTGACTCTACATTGATTCAAAGTCTAGGCATGTTCTAAGTGGTAGTGCTACCATGTTAATGAGTCTAATATAATTTTTGGGTTTGAGTTGCTAGGAAAGAAATCAGGTGATTATTCTAATAGTGCCCAATTTCGTCTTTAATTACATCACTTTGACTACTCACAACTGACCCTGTCTAAAGGAAACATAAACACTAGTGTGAGAATTTTTTTTTCCATTCTGAGATGTTGTCAGGCCATTTTATTTCATAAGCAAAAAAAAAAAAAAAAAAAAGGATAATTTATGGAATCACAAGCTATAAAATCTCAACTTCTAGAGGCATACTTGTTTCCAATTAGACCTTTCCTTATAGGTTTATGGTCTCTGACACCATGTAAGGAACACAGCATTTTATAAATATCCACCAAAACTGCACTGACATCCATCAGAGCATCTGGCCCAGGAACAAAGAAGGGGGAGATTAGTTGAACGCTTAAGATGTTTTATGATCAAAGGTGAACACACTGAAAAAGAGTGAGCTGGATGTTTCCAGTGAATGCTTCAGGTTCCCATTGGTGGTCATGTACTGCACCAACCCTTGCAAACCAAATAAAAAGTGCTAGAAGAAGAGCAGATGTCTACACTCACAGTGAGGATGAGTCTTCCTTATAGGCAGTAGTGACAAAGGTATTCCCAGAGGCCCTGAGTTGTACTGGCAAATCTAAAACTCTTCTTTACACTTAGTCTTTCTGCCAAAGGAAAAAACAAACACGCAAGCAAACAAAACAAAATAAACAACACACACACACACACACACACACACACACACACACACACACACACAAGATAGGTATCCTGATCCTTGCAGTGGTATAAATTTCATTCAAAATGAATATTCCACTCACTGTGTGTCTGAGACTAGAAAGTGACATTGTAAATTAAGACCATAGTAATTTCATCCAGTGATGGTCTAGATTGTAAAATATTACATGTCAAATGGGTGGGGCTGCTGAGACCCTACTGAGAACAAAGTTAACATAATGTATTTTACGTGAATTGTGGGAGATTAGAATTCTCACATAAATCATGCTTTGTCAAGAAGTTTGATTTCACAAATTAAATTTGAATAGGAAATTAGTTTTTCCCTCATCCCTCCTGTGCGGCCCACAGCAAAAGTGGGGTAACATATTTCCCCAAGCAAGCTTGGCAGGGAGTACTCACTAACACACTTTGGTATCATGAATGTAGTATAAGCCAAAGCTGACTTCCTTATGTTTTGAAACAAAGAGGTCTGTAGAAACTGTTCAGCTAATATTACAGCTAAGAGCAACACTAACCACATTCTTATACCTCTTGAATCCATATGCAGCAAAAATAATCAGTGGAAATGTACTCATTTGGTCTCCATGGCATGCTAGAAATGCCTCCTGGACTCTCTTTTAACAAGGATAGCTTTCTGGAACATCCTGTGAATGAGCATCTACAGCTAGGACACAGGTTACTCCTTGGGCATGGCACAGTCAAGATTTCTATCTCATCCTTTTCTTAAGGCAATACAGTAGTTGTCCTCATTCCTCCTTATGTTGTGGCTCACACATAAGCCTGTCACTTCTTGTCACAAGTAGCAAGAAACAGGACCTTGGCTTGCCTTTATTTAGAAGAAGGCCCAGCAAGAAATGAGGAAAGTAAAGGATTCCCAGCTAGTATCCAAGAGAGGAAAGGATAGGTGGTCCTTAGTTGGAGGTGGGTAAAAAGCAAAGAGCTCTGTTGGTGACCATAGTTCAGGCTTGAATGCTGTAGATACCAAAGAGGGCTGCTTGCCCCTTTAGTTTCAGGGACGTGAATCACAGTAGGTTCTTCCAGGGTTGATAATCAGCATGGCCTGGTTATTAAATGTGCATGTATCAGACAGTATGTACATGCTTCAGCCTGAATTTACTGAGAAAAACAATGAGGACAACTAAGGTAGTAAACATAGACCACAGGAAAGGACACAGCATGACTGTTCTCACTACATGTGTAGCATGACATTGGGACATCATACGTTATCACTGAGATTGGGCACATTGGCTGGGAATCATGGAGTGCCGAGACTGTCTACGTTTGTGTGCATGTGTGGCATCTTGCAGCAGTGAGAATGTTGGTTTTCATACTGTGAATTATTCTTTCTGGTTATTTTTTTAAGTTGACGCAATTTCTTAGTTTAATTTATATTTGAAGTCCCTCAGCACACCTAAACAGAAGAGTTTATAGAAAACACAATGAATTCATCAAATTAATGAAATTGTTCTTAGCTGCTATATTAGAGGTTAGTTATAAATACTGGCTTTGTTTGTTGTTTTTCAGGTACCATGATCAACAGGATGTCACTAGCAACTTCCTTGGAGCAATGTGGTTGATATCAATAACTTTTCTCTCCATTGGTTATGGTGACATGGTACCTAACACATACTGTGGGAAAGGAGTCTGCTTGCTTACTGGAATCATGGTAAATGTCTTTCTCCTTCCATCTCCTGTATTTATGCTTAAGAAGAAAACAAAACCCTGAGCCCTTATGAATAAATGATTGTGAGTTATTCATTTGCTCATATAAACAAGTTTTGAAATATGTTGAAGGCTTAAAGATTTATATTACATCATATAGTGTTATTTATTCTGTTAATGAATGTTGATTGATTAGGTGAAAGGCATGGGTCTGGGAACCTTACTGGGAGTGAAGCAGAAGCAGACATAAGCTATCCCTACCCTGCTTCCATGGAGCCTCCATCTGAAACCTTGTGTTTCAAAATAATTGACAAATGATTGTTAATTACACCTGATAGAGGAAGTGCCAGTTGCAATGATAGAGGAAAAAGTAAATCTCAAGTTGTTTGGGAAACTGAGGAATAAGAAAAGGCCTCATTAAAGAAATAACTTATTTTAAGATGAAGTGAGACTTCTCTATAAATGGGCAGGAATGGGGAGCATTCTGTCTAAAAACTACAACTTAACAAGTACAGTTCATTTGAACTAGGTAAGTGGACAGGACAGTCATGAGCTGGGGACAGGAGGCCAGAGATTGCAGGATACTGAGAAAGGTTTGCTGTAATGGTGAGTGATGGGTCTTTTCCCAGGAGGACTGAAAACCTCAGCCATGTCATTTGCCTTTCTTACACCATTGTGTAGCCTGAACTGCATTGCTTCATTTGTTTTGTTATATGAAAACTGGAAAAGCACTTCCATCCTTGACAAAGGCAGTTAAGGTTAGAGTACTTCTCCAGCCAAAGGATCAATGGAGACCAGAGGCAAGATAAAGGAAGCTTTAGATGAAATAAAATTCCTCAGAGGGGCAGGAAAGTTAGGGAGATCATTCGAGAACTGGCTGCCCCAGCCTTGAGTTCCTTGGAGACTGCTTGAATTAAGCTGAAGTAAGAGTGACCATGATGCTTTGAACTTGCTCATTGTGCTCTGCCTTTTGGACCTTTTGTACACAAATTGTGTCAGGGAAAATCCTACACCCAGTGTATCTGGTAAGACTCCAAGTCAGGAACAAGCCAGGTGCCAATTTGCTCTAATGGTGGAGCATCCCTTGTGGCAGATTGTGCAGTGGCCATTTGAACCCAGTAAGGTAGCAGAGAGGTCAAGGGGCACAAAGACTCTGATGTGTTCTCCTCCTAAAGCGGGGGGGGGGCGCGGGGGGGCGGCAGGGGGGATGCAATGTTGCTACACTGTCCATGCACTGGGTATCAGGAGAGAATGCTAGGGGGAATTTTTAGGTCCTTTGAGTACAAACCACTCAGGATGGAGTCACCTGCAGCGTCTGCTGGGAAGATTGCTCCACAGACCTTAATTACCTGACAGGACTGAGAGTCTGAGCATCAGGAGAATAGAAGCATTCTTCTGCCCTTGGTATAACTGAACAGAGATAAGAAAGTTAGCCTGACCAGTTTTAAAGACAAGAGTAGTATGAGGATAACCATTAAACCCAAATTATGAGAGTTATAATTTGGGGACATAACTTAACATTATTTTCTTTTAAAATCAAAACACAGTTTTGTGAACTTAGTGAACTTGAAATGTTTTCCTTATACTTGGTATAGCTCCTTAAATGTTTGATTTTTAGAATATCTCCCATTTTACCTCAAATAATAGCTTTTTATTGCATAGCATAAAACTTTCGGAAATAAAATACATAGAGGCGTATTTTTGGAAGGCCCCATAACAAGCCCACAAGGGAGATGAACGATGCTATTTATAAAAACAGAACTGATAACTACAGTCTTTCCTCCGTGCTTCCCAAAAACAACTTGCTTGGTGTTTCTTTTGTGGCAAGAGGTACCCATTTTGTTATTAAATGTGGGGTGATTGAGGGAATTATTTGCCTCTGCTGCAGACACAAATTTAACTTTAACCTTTTTTGAGCACAGGCACCTTGGGATACATCTGTCTTCTTTTGGCATTGCTCTGTCTCTAATGTCTCCAGACTAATGCCTCTTCAGTCTTGTCTGGCAACACAGAATCTCTTGTTTGCCTCCTTCAATGGCTTCCTTGATTAGGTTTCACGATTGATCTTTGTTTGGGAAAAGAAGTTCTAAGCATCTTTAAATCTATACAAAGGAAGGTTATTCTTCCCCTGCAAGCTCACAGTGTAACAACAGTCCAGTCTTAAACTCAGGGGCTCTATTCTCTCCCGCATATTAGTACAGATTGTTTAACTGACCTGATTAAAGACTGTTTGCATACATGGAAATCCAAAAATCGTTGAGTAGCCTTTGTAGCAGTGCTTTGGAACATGGCAGTGGCCCTCTCTTGAGGCCAGGAAAATTTCCAGTGTCGTTCTACTGGGCAGTCTAAAGAGTGGATCATACCCTGTAGAAACTCCTTAAGGGACTTAATAGCAGTGTGTTGAGGCAAACTACATATAGTGTGAAGAATATCTGAATGAAATTGTAGATTCCTAAAAGAAGATGACTTTACAAAAGGTTAGTTTCTTGAGGATAAAGTGTGTTTGACAAATTTTGTTGGCCTTTGCCTGCTTTTCATTAGGGGAAGTATGATAACAGTGGGGACTTAGCCAGAAATGACTTCTCATTTCAGTGTTTATGTGCCTATTCATTGAATGCCTGTAGTATATAATTATGTAAAGTATATATTGACATATTTCCCTTCAGTTTCTCCTGTCTGCCTGTCTTTCCTTCTCAGCTCTAGCCTTTAATAACTTGTTAATAAGAAACACAATTTACAGTACTCTGAAGAGAGCACAGAGCATCATCCTGAATATTACCTCTGGAGTACTGTGCCTTTTGTTCTTTTTTATCACTCAGTTTTCCTATCCTTGTGTGTATGATGTTTTGACGGAATTTAGACCTTCATGTGGTAGGTTTTCATTCTGAAGTAAAATTGGTCTACACGCTAACACCTACACAGACTTCGCCAAGCCCTGCTTATTTTCTTCTTAAAACAAATTGACCCTGATGGGTTAGAGCATGCCACCATTCTTGGTGCTTACATTAGTCAAAAAATCAAAATTAGGGTATAATTTAGAAGTTTTTAAAAGCTGAATTTGTGCCACAGGTCATATATTTTTAGAGACAAGGACATTAGACTAAGCTTATATCTGCACTACTCTAGGCAGAAATATATTATTAAGCCACGAGGTGAGGTTCTTCTCTAAAACATTTCTAGTAGAAAACCAAAAAGCATTATCAACAATTCCCATTCTCTCTCTCTCTTCTGTCTCTCTCTCATTCTTTTACTCTCTTTCTTTTCTCTCTCTGATGCACATGATCAAAAACATCAAGTAGAATGTACCTTATGCCAAGATTTACCTATGAATTAGAGTTCAAGGAACTAAGATCTTTCTCTTCCCTTGTTCTGCATATTTTTGTATATGTTTGCATCTCTAGAAGGGTCAGAAGTCTACACAAGGTACCTTCATAGATGAATCTCCACCTTATTTTTTGAAACAGAGTCTCTAAGAGTCAGCTCACTGGTTTGTGTAGACTGGTTAACTAGCAGAACCCCTGTCCTCCCTACCATGCTACCATGTAGGCTTTAAAGGAAATCTGGGAATCAAAAATTGGTCATCAAGGCTGGTAGCATCATCTTCCTCTGTGGCCTGGCAAACTTGCACACACCCCCGGGGGAGGTGATCAAAGAGCCAGCCACTGAGTTCATGTCAGAGACAGTCCCTGTATCCCTTACTAGGAAACCCACTTGGAAACTGGGCTTCCTTTGAACAGGAGGTCTAGGTTCTCTTCATGCATGGTCCTTAGTTGGAGTATCAGTCAGTGCAGACCCCCTTGGGCCTGGATATTTTGTGAGCCACCCCAATCCTTATCTTAACCTCAGGATATTATGTTTAAAATGTAAAATCAGGGAATAGCTTAACAAAAGTCACACTCTTTTTCCTTTAAGACTAAAGCATTAAGGTTATAGAAGAATATTTTCTCTACTCTTCCTCCATTTGAAGAGACACTGAGTACCTGAAGATTTTCTATTTGGGATGTTTTCATAAACAGTGGACTGAACTCTAACTAGTTTCCTTTTCATTGAGGGCAGTAGGCAAATGGATCATCAGTTTGTCTCTGGTTTTTGTCAGCACTAGCTAGTTTCTAACCATTTCCAGTTTACAATAGAAGTAATCATTTTACTTGTCACTTATCCTTTCTCCCATTTTCTATCTACGCAGGTGACTGTAACACCCTGAAAGCTATGCATTTTCCTTTACTCCTGAATATATGATTGTTTCAAGAGGAACCATGTTGATAAGGGTACCTTTTCACTTTTACTAGAAAGGTCATTCATGTATAGCTTTAGTTTTCCTTCTTCTGTAACATGATGGTAACTCTTCCTGGCATTTAGCCTTTTAGACTATGGATAAATGAATTTCCAGGCATAATTGTCTTTAAATATAGAGTAATAACTGTCCATTCAAAGGTGTCAATCTAAGGGTTCTTTAATGAAGAGCTATAGAGCCTTAGACTTGATAAAACAATCAAAGCAAGGTCTCCAGGTGACTTGTGTTTCTTCTTTCTCATTGGCAATTCTGTATAAAGATTTCCAAGTTCATAACAGTTTGAAAAGATCATGCTAATTAATATTTTTAAACTTTATTCAGGAAGCAGAAAGAAATGTCAGACCAAGACAAAGCCTCTGTATCACTAGATAGTAATTGCATGAGTATCAACCTTGCTGATACTCAGTTCAGTGGTGTTCTGGACCAGAGTAATGAATTAGCTACAGATCACATTAAATCCCATCACATAAGACCCATTGACCGTAGTGTATGTTTAAATTCATGCAGAACTATATTTTATACAGATAGGAAAAAAGAATTCTGTTTTGTTTTTTTTTTCCCAATGGGAAAACTAAGTTCCTGATCAACTGCCTAACCAGAACTCTTGTTCTTCCTAGGGTTATCTCACAGATAATCCCAGGAAACTTTTATAAATTGCATGACAGCTGCTTTTTTTTTTTTTTAGCAACAGACAGGCATGTGTACCTAAT